CCCGTTACGCTGCCCGCAGTGCCGGCGCTGAGCCTGGCGTTCCTGGGTGGGAAGGGCTCCGGATCCCGCTCCGTGCAGCCCCTCGGTTATCCCTGCGGCTCTGGGCAGCGGGACAGGCTGCCAAGGGGCAGCACGGGCCGACTGGAAGCGCTCTGACATCCGGAGACGGCTCCTTGTGGAAAACCGCTTCCCAGTCCACAGGGCAGCTCTGGAGAATCTTGGCTGTGAAGATCCTGAGCTGGAAGCGGGAAGATGGGACAGCAAGGAGGGGACAACCTCCGCTTCTCCTGCCATCCTAGCAGCTGCCTTGGCCCTGCTGGCCGTGACTCAGTGGCAGCATGGGAAGAGGAGGAGTGCGGTGTCTCTGTGTCACCTCCCGAGCTCAGGACAGCTTGGGTAAGCAGAGGGGTAGGACTAGGTCTTCACTGTCTTCACAAGGCCCCAGAAGAGGAAAGCACCCCCAAAAAACAGGGCCGAGAATGAACCTTCACCACCATGACCCAGTGGGTGCCGCAAAAATTGGAAGTGCATCCCCCCGCCTCTTATCCCATGGCATGTGGATGACAGTCCTGCAGATGTCACCAGGGAAAGCGTCAAATCTTACTTGGGCGCTGATTGTGCCAATTTAGCAGCCTGTCACTCACAGCGGCAGCACAGGTGTGACCCAAGAACACTGCTTCATGTCCCGATCGTGTGTCACCTCCTCAGCCCGCCTCGCTCCTCATTAGGTTAGACGCTGAACAAAGTTCGTGTCTCCTTCGCTCTTTTCTTGCTTCCTCCTCGCTTCCCTGCCTGTTTCCCCCCGCAGTTCACTCGTTCATCTGGCCACAAAGCCCTGCAGAGGGAGGGGACCCAGGTCAGTGTCTGTCTTCATTCCCATCGCTCCAGCCCGCTGAGTTCGGAGGGAATTTGCTTCCCAAAGCTAAAGGTTTCGTGGCCCGTTTGGACAGCACAGCTCTGCTACAGGTTTGTATGACCTTGTTTATAGCTGGGTCAAGTGAAAAGAGCTACTGACACATCTGAGGGCCAGAACAAAACCAGAGCTTGGTGCTCTTATCCAGCAATGGCAGTTTGCCCTGGTCAGAAAGCACTAGCAGAGCAAAGCCACATTTATGGATCCCCTCTGTGGAAGTCTCCTCAGCAGTAGCCCGACCATCAGCCCAGTGGGAAATGATCCAGGAAGCAAATCCCAGATGCTCATATTCACTTTCTGATTTCCTGTCACTGGGCAATGCTCCTTCCCAGCCGCCACAGGGGACCTGTCATCTAGGGACAACCCTGCAGTGACAGAGCTGGGCAAAAGAGGAGGACGCAGGGAAAGCTCCGACATGGGTAGAGGGGTTTTAGGAGTTTGCCCTTCAAAGAGGGACTGTCCCTGTTTCCCTGTGGCAGGAAGTCCTGGATGAGGGTTTGGATCTGTCAGAATTAATGAGTCAAGAGCTCCTCCTTTGCTGCAACCAGCCTGTCCCTGATCTTGCAGGACAGTGTCGTAAACAGGACACAGCTCCCGTGATCTCCGAGCCTCAGCTCCAACGGGTATTGCTCATGGTGCCCTGCTGGAGCCTGCTTTGCACCAGCTGATCTTCTAGCCCTGCAAACCTTCCTTTTCAGCCTCCTGGGATGTGCTATTTTCTGTCTTCCTCCTGCTCACACTCATTCGCTAGGGAGTTCATAACTCAGCCTGCCTTGGCACTAATCCCTGCAAACTTCCAGTTCCATTGAACTGATCAAGCCGTGCAGCAGGGACAGGCCTTTGAATCATATGTTGTAGCTGGAACCCCCTCCGTGCTGGATGTTGCATTATACGTTGGCAGGTTTCTTTCCTCCTGAGGGATGGCTTTCAGCAGAGGAGCTAGAAGCCCATATGTGCTGCTCTAGCACAACACTGCTGTTTAAGTGAGCCACAGCGAGAACAGAATCCATGTTGAGGTGGGGGGATAAAATTGGATTGGAATCGGCTATGCTCACGTACATACCCTTGGTCTCAGGGCCCTTACTTTACATATGTTGGATTTCCTGCTGCCAATAGAGCAGATCAGTTCTAAAATAAGCCCCAGGTTGGTAAATGGAGAGCAGTAGGTTCAAGTGGGCTTACGATGTCACATCTAGGGGCAGTGATAAGGCTGGACCCCTGTGTTGTTTCACACTCTGTTTACATCATAGCTATCCCCTGGGGCATTATTTAGATTTATATAGTATGTGTGGGCAAGAAGGGGTTAAAAATACAGGTAGGCAGATGAGGACACCAGGGTTCTCCCAGCAGTGTGGGAAAGAGCAGGGAGCCAAGGGGGGAGAGCCTGGTCCAACACCCCCACTCTCTTGATGGCTTCGTGTCACCAGTTTGGCTGTGTGATCCTAGAAAATCTTTGTCTCTGTTTCTGTCTTTGCCAAAAGCAGGGACTGAAACTCCTTAGTCCATGGAGATCAGTTACTCAAGCAGTGCAATGTGCATTCACTTCTCCGAAAAGTGATATTCTCCAGAACTGGAAACCCTGCCTCTCCTTTCCCACACTTGGCGCTTGCCATCTGGCTGAGAAGCATGCTGGAAAAAAGACACAAATCCTCCCTTTAATTATACTGCGCATTTTATTATCTCACCTCAGATTTTGCTGTTAATCTCTTTTACAGATTTCATTTACATAAGTGGAGGCCTTTAACTTCAGCAAGCTGCACAGCTTTCTCTTCTGATTCTGCAGATATCAGTAAGCTAAAAAGAAAAGAAGAAAGAACAAGTGTCCTTAGATTTGTCATTCAGTCTTTGCTAGGTTTTTTTATACTGTTTCCTCCTCCTCAACTCTTCACCTAAAAATCCATAAGACAAATTAACACAGCCAAAGCAGAATAACAACTCCCGCAGGAATAACAGAGACCCTCCTATTAGAGACATTTAAGCCCAGATAAGACAAAGCTCCAGGGATAAATGATAACCATTCCACAACCCCAAGTCTGCAGGCAGGAGTAACTATAGCATCCTGCCCCTGCGTTTCTCCTTTGCAATTCCCACGGAGTAACATGAAAGCCTGGAGCAGATTTGTTAGCACTTGACACTTTAAAACGCAGCCAGTTCTCTCCGTTTCGAGCCCTTGTCTAAGGGGGAAGGTGCTCAGAACTGCTCTGCACCCAATATCTTCATGAGCTCCAGCCCGAGGGCAGGTGCCGCTCGCATTATGAGCCCTTTGGGAAATCGATCCCTTAAAGCTGAGGTCTTCTGAGGGAGGAGGAGCAGGGAAGTGGGAAGCAGCTAAGGAATGCTCCCGGGAAGTGCTGCCGTGCTACTAGCAGTCAATGCCAGCTCCGCGGGGCCCCTGGACACAGGATAACCTTCCCCGGAACGTGCACGCGTGAGAAGGGACAGGGGTATCCAAGGCCTCTGCAAAGTGAGCAAACATGACACAGAAGCCCTTCTGAGGAGTATAAATATCTCCATGATGATGAGCTGGTGAGAGGAGGGAGAGGCAGAATTCCCCAGGCAGAATTCAAGCTTCTGACAGTACCGTCTGGGGTGTCCTGTAACATCCCCGCTAGCAGTTTCTCCAGGACATGTTGGTATTTTTCCAGCTGCCTTGAGGTGAGCCACATCCCAGCTTTGGCAGGAAGAGCTAACTGTGGAAGAAAGCGGAAAAAATCAACAGGAAAAGCTGGGGGAAGAGAAGCAGGTGGGTTGGGGGCAGCCACGCTTTGATTCCACTTTGCTGAAGCTATTAGAGAGTCCAGCACCGATGTGAGGGAAGGTGACAACCCTGAGTGTGGGGAACAGCAACATTTTCGAGGCAGCCCCTTGTAGTGTCAATCCAATCTTGTGCTCTTCACAGTGCCGCTTTTCATGCGTATGGGCTGACTCAGAAACACAGATAAAGGCACCTGCTGGTGACAGACCTCAAACGAGAGAGTCATTTCCGAGCTGTATAATCCCCCGCTCTCCCCCACCTTCGCCCTCCGAGCTATCCCCTTTCCCGATGCTGATGGAATATCCTGCACTGGTGAGGACTGGGGATGAGGCACTGTCCTGCCACCAGCTTGATCAGTGCCAGGCCAGGTGCTGCTCACAGGTACCCACAGGAAAGCTGTTCTGGCATGGCTGGAGGCACAGGATACCTTGTGGTCGCAGGGAAGGAGGTTAGACCCTGGGATGTGTCTCTTATTTAATGCATTGAGCTGCTTAAATCCTGTTATTAATTTTGGTGTACCGCGTTGTTGAGCAGCTGCCTGTTAACCTGCATTTTGGCCTAATTGCAGTCTAGCTGGTCACGGTGCCTGGCCCACCGAGCCCCTCCTGCAGACGGGACTGGACCCACACGCTCCTTCTGCTGGGACACAGAGGCTGTGCTCCCTGCGGAAGCGGCTGCATTGACGGCGCGAGACCAGAAAAACACTATTTTCAGACTTGGCTGGTCAGGTAAGTGTGCCTTTGAGGGCTTAGACTGGCACTTAAATGCTTAAAATTGAGATTTTTCTGCTCTATATACAGGCTTTAGGGGTGGGGGTGTTTGCGCTCAGGTTTTTGAATGAGGTCTTCCCGGTGCAGAGCATTGTGAAAGGAGGTGAGCGGTGCTGAAAACTGAGGCCAGAGCTGGGCAGAAAGGTGGCAAGTCAAAACCTGACCTGAAGCAGAGCTGTAAATTACTGACTTACATTTGGCTGGTGTTTACCGAGTGGCAAATGAAAACCAACGGGTTGCTTTCATCTTTCCTGCACTGAGAGAGAGGCCAAGTGGGTCTGAAGGTTGACCAGGCTTAATTGTCTTATAAATATAGGAGGTAATTTAAAGGCTGAAGTTACCTCTTTCTCTGGTGCAACCTCGCTCAGTTCCCTGGCAGAGCTGCTTGGAAATGAGTGTTTTTCCTTCCTATTGCCTATGAGCTCCCTAGCAGCCCCTCTCTTCTTGCCTGGCAGCAGCAGCCGCGTGTGGGTAGCCAGGTCCCACGAGATGGCTCTGGAGCCACCTGGCCCCGTGTGTCCCTGCGGATTCCTTAGAATGCCAAGATTTCCCTTACCTGGAGGGTCCTGACCTTGCCGACGTCTTCTGTTCTGGGTTGCTAAGGGGAGCTTTGCTCTTCCAGATGCTGCAGCGAGGTCAGGGATTTCTTCTGCCCCTTGTTCCTCTCCTTCTCCTGGAACCCCCGGGAAAGAGCAGAGAGGGCAGTGCTGCTGTGAAACCGGCTCTGCGCCAGTGCAGGTCTGTGTCCTGCAGGCAGGGACCTGCAGAGCTGGGTACAGCATGATGGGAGGCCTGACTGCTGCGTGGAGCCGACGCAGCAGCGTTCCCTGCGGCCCCGAGCTGCAGCTCCCTGGGAAGAGACCCCTGCACCGCGGTCGGCCTGGCCTCGGGGCTGCAGTCCGGGTGTGCAGCAAGTGCTGCAGTGGTAGCTGCAAGGTCAGGCTGCAGGGAACGATCTTTAGTGAACCCCTCGATGACTCCAGAGCCGTGCGAGACAGCAGTGTGAGCGGGATGTGGTCAGTGACTTTGCAGGGGTATTCCAGCCCCAGGAGAAAAGTGGGATATGGGAACAACAGACAAGGGGTGCTGGGTGCCCTGCTGCTTGCTGGGCTCTTGCTGCAGCGGGAACAAGTGCTCCGGGCGGGAGAGGCGCCTTTGGGAGGGAGCCCCGGCACCCACACGCACCCAGCGGGCTCTCACTGTCGTAGCTGCCAGCGCTGTGACGTGCAGGTGACACAGGGACAGTGTTTGGCCTCCTCTCGAGGAGGTCAGGGATGGCCCTGCTCCCCGCGAGCTGCAGCTGCTCCGCAGTGAGCGGATGGGCTTTGGAAACGGGATTTCTCCCCAGTGTCCATGGATCGCACCGTGCGGGGAAGCTCCCTCGGACTGTGGCTAAGGGGACGATGCCAGTCTCCGAGGCTGCCTGCCTGGCACCTTTCGACAGTGTTAGCTTTGCATCACAGGAACAAACCTCCACTCTGCACATCCCAGAGGTGACAACCATCTGGAGGATGGTTAATTATTTCTTGCAACAAAAAGACCCAGCTGAATGGTGAGGAGAGGCTGCAAATTCACTTTAAAAATACAGCCACTAGCATGGAGGAAAGACAAAACAAGAGGCAGCATCTGCAGATAACCCATGCAGGGCTTTCAATTCTTATTTAGAGGGTTGGAGTTCTTTTTCCACTCTCTCTCTCTCCCTTAGCTTTGGGATGAGCAGGGGACTGCCACTATTACAGTATCTCCTGTTTGGACAGAAGGGAGAGATGACGGGAATAAGAGTGCAAAACCCGGGGGGAGGATGGGAGCAGCCCCTTTCCTGCGTTCCTTGGGACTCCAGGCAGCGCTGTGCATCTCTTATGGGATACCTGCATTTTCTGGAAGTCGCTCTGGGTGAAGAAGGGCAGGAAACCTTCGGCGTGTCCAGCCAGCACAGCCACCACGTGCAGCACGAGCAAAGCAGCCACCACCTTCCTGGAGACCATGGTGAAAGCCTGAACAGCACAGGAGAGGAGACGGGGCCATCGTGAAGGCTGGGAGAGAAATCACGTGGGCTTTCAATCAGCTGCCATCTGATTTAGCCAGCAGCTGACTGTACGTGTATTTACTCTTCCAGTTGCTCCTGAGCTGAGAATAGAAGTGCCTTGACTGTCAATTCTCCCAAACCACTTCTTGTAAACAGATTTGTTCTCGAGCAGCTACCCCGGAGACTCGAAGCCCGGCCCATAGAGTGACTGTGAAGATCAACTTCGCTGAGAGCTTTTCTGCCCTGCAGTGCTGCCCACCAGCCCCACGCAGCCAGGAGCAGGGAGAGCACAACCCACCGTGAGGCTGCCCTGTTAGATTTTGTTTTCATATTCTAGCCCCCAGAAACCTGCATCAGTGCACCGAATCATCTAATAACCCTCCTTGGGTCCGAGGGAGCCAAGAACGGCGTTCGCCAGCCCTGCTCCATAGGAGTCCGGTAGAAACGGCTTTAAAAACTAGCTTGTGAAGTGACTTAAGAGTGACTTTGCATCAGAAGGGGACTTATGTCAACATTAAATGCTCTCTTTAAATATTAAAATATTCTCTCTGGACGAATTTAATGAACTCAAGTCCCACAGTTTAACTATTCTACCTGATTGGAGCCTGATCCTTAATTAGTTTCAAAAAAGCTCGTGCTTTGGACTTTATTAGAGAGACCTTTTTAGGTCAAATTTGACCCCTAAATTAGATTTCCCATAAATATCAGCTAGTCTGGAGCTGAAAGCCAGTGGAAGTTCCTAAGTGCTCCCCTTGCCCGTGAGATCCCTCAGCAAAACGTCAGCTCGAGGGCAGCCCCACGGCGAGCGGAGCCTCCCTGTGGGGCTGGGCCCCACGGCTGCCCCCTCACATGGGCTCAGGGCTGCTTGTTGCCCCGTGCCGTGGCCACGTGCCCAGGCGCTCCGTCCTCGGAGCGTTTCGGGATGCGCACGCGCTCCTCGTGGCGCATTATCACAGGAGCATCAATCTTCGGTGCCGTTTCATTTATTCTAGCGCTGCAATAAAATACTGCCGTCTACAGCAAAATAAACCCAGTCGCCTCCTCCGGCTCTCACCGAGTAGCCCTGGTTGAATTAGTTCTCTCCCTCTTCCTCCAGAGAAACACCCCCCACATTTCCAGGCGGAGGACGTCTCTCCCGAATGTCCCCTCTGTATTTTGGAAGCAGGACGTGTGTTTCAGACGTAAGAACACTGGCTCATTACCTCTCCAGGCAGATATGCACCTTGTCGCTAGCGAATTTGCTTCGCAGCTACAAAAGGAAGGCGCAAAGCAGGAGCATCCTGCGCTCAGCATCAGCACAACCAGGTGCTGCGGTCGCAGGAGGCAGCGGTGCCAGTCTGCGGATGCCAGCAGAACACAGGGCAGAGCTTGGAGGGGTGGGCATCGAGCTGGTGCGAGGACAGCAGGAAAACGGCCCTTCTCTGCTGAGCTCTGCCTTCCGAAAGCCGCGTCGCCCCTCTCAACGGGAGCTGTGACCCATTTTCTCTATGTTCAAAGCAGCTCCCCAAGTGCAGAGGACGCACAGGGCTGCCGGTGTCTGCCGGGTCTCGGAGCGAGCCGGGAACGGGTGGAATCAGCGCTCCCATTCCGGGGAAGAGCAGAACGCACCATTCCCCTTGCTTCAGCATTGATTTTCTGTCCTTATCAGACAAGCTCCTGCCAAATGGAAAGGCGTGTGCACTGGTAAGAGCAGCTCTGCCCATGCCTGGTCAATGCGGGATGAGCGAGCATGGGAGAGATGGGGATTAGGGAAACGGGACCCTTCCAGGGCCATTTTTGAGCTCTTTTCAAGGAAAAGCTTGCTTCTTTGCCCAAGAGAACCTTTTGATTGAGTCATGTTTCTTCTTTTTTCCATGCAGAGAATTTTGAAAGCCATAGGGAGAAACCCTGAGCTGTCCCAGTGCCTGTTCGAGCACCCACGGGCTGCCCCGAGGGGAAAAAGGAACCCGGCACCTACCTGGTGAGTGTGTCCCCGGGGTGCCGATGGTCACAGCTCCGGGTCCTCCTCACACCCTGACGCTCCTGCTGGTTTTCCCAGCCCTTTATATACCTGCTTCCCTGCACTGCTACCCCCACTTCCAAGGGGGCTGCTGAACAGCCGCCTGGAGCGCATGGAAACGGGTTTGCCAGCCGAACAGCGCTGTTATCCGCACTGAATTTTTAGGAGTTTCTGGGATGATCAGCTCCCTGCCCTCCCACAGGGTCTGTTCTCAGGCCAGCAGCAGGTCACAGGGGTGCCCACGGCCAGACCTAAAGCAAATCCCTCCGTGTCTCAGTTTCCCTTTCTTTGTAGGGGAGAAAATTCCTCTCTCCCAACTCATCTATTGAGATTGTGAGCCCTGCGCGTAAGGCCTTTATGCTGGGAATGTATCAGCAGTGAAATGATGCCTGGGTGTTGATTCTATTTCTAGTGTAATAGGAACAAATCATGATAATAACAATGATGCCACTGAAATAAGCATAATGCAGAATGAAGTTTGACCCACTGGCATTGCAAAAGCATTGATTTGAGGTAATAAATCTCTGGCTACATTGAGAGCAAGATATTAAAATAATAAATAAAACTGTACATGCCAAATCTACCCCAAAGAGCTTTATAAACTGAACAGACAAGCGAGGAGATGACTGGTCAGTCTGGGGGATTTGTCTGTTTATTCAGGGTCCTCAGATGGCCCCAATTCCACAGTAGCCGAGCGGGTCACACTCCTGGACGCACGGATCCCCCTCGGGGACACAGAAGGTCTGGGACAAGGCCAGAGATGTCCTATTGCTTCTCATCAGCTGGGCAGCTGCGTGCGAGCAAACCTGAGAGCAGCCAGCCCAAAGCAGGCGAGAAGCGCGAGGGAAAACGGGCCGGGGGGTTGGAAACCCGGCCCAAAGCAGGTGGGAATTGCGAAGGAAAACAGGCCGGGGGGTTGGAAAACCGTCCCAGAGCAGGTGGGAAGCGCGAGGGAAAACGGGCCGGGGGCTGGAAACCCGGCCCAAAGCAGGCGGGTAGCGCGAGGGAAAACAGGGCCGGGATGTTGGAAACCCGGCCCAAAGCAGGCGGGAAGCAAGAGGGAAAACGGGCCGGGGGGTTGGAAACCCGGCCCAAAGCAGGTGGGAATTGTGAAGGAAAACAGGCTGGGGGGTTGGAAACCTGGCCACACCGACCGGCTCCGTGGGCCGTAACGCTCAGCTTGGGCCAAACCCTCCCGAAAAAACGTGGCATCCACCAGGATGCTTCCAAGATCCCCGCGTATTTATTGCTGCTTATCGCCAGGCAGTGAAGTGCTCCCAGCTATCAAGCTGCCGGAGAGGTCAGCATAGTTTTCCTCCCTGGGACCACGTGCATGTGTGTTGATGAAAAGGTCGTTACACCATCGGTTATTATTCCCTTCACTAAAGAATTTGCCCAAATACCATTTGACCCTGGTTCTCATTTTAATTGACTTTTTCAGTTATTTATTTATTTTTTTTTATGGCTGTGATGGATTCAGCTGTTGACTCGGCAGATGGTGTTGAGAAGTGACAAATTAATTACCAAGAAAGGTCACTTTTTTCAAAGCACTAAACTTTCCCGTGTCTTGTCCCCTTTTACCTCAAAAATGTGGCTGCCTGGCAAGTTTCCCGTCCATCTGTGGCGAAGCTGCTTCATTGGAAGGGACAACCTTTAGAATAAAAAGACAAGGCTAAAATTAATCATATCTGTATTAGCTAGACACTGTCTACCAAGTCCACCTCATAATTATGCAAGTGCACGCAAAACAGAAAGGAAAAGAGAACTGAGACCCAATTCCAAGATATTTTTAATGGAAGCACTGGCATGGATGGAAGCAATGGGTATCTTTTTGCTCTAGGTTTGCTGAGTTCAACAAGGCAGCTTTGAACATGACTCCCTCCCGGCATTGCCAATAAAAAAGAAAATAAATATCCCAGGTGGGAGTCCTGCCTCTGTCATAAGGCAAAAAGAACCCTGTTCTGCTGCGCTCCCTGCAACAACTTGCAACCTGCAGGTCCCCTTAAAATCTTCTTGTTTTTATGAAGCAGAATTACAGCAGAGGTTAGAAGCATAACAACAAAAAAACAAAAGTTGTGCAACGTGGACTAGTTTGCAGCTCTGCTTGGACCTGCAGTTAAATGCTTGCCGTATCTGGGAGGAATTTTAACAGGAAACGGCCAGTGGTAGCAAAGCCCATTAAACCGTGAACCCATCGCAATGCCAAGGATCAAAGGAAAACGAGCACCACAGCCCTGCGCGCTGCTCGCCGCGTGCGGCCGGTCTCCCTCCAAGGAGGCCGTGTTTTGGCAAGGGAGGAGCCGCTGCTCCCGCGCCAACGCTCCGTTTTTTCGCTCGGGATCCAGT